AGCTTACTAAGAAGCTGACACTTACTAAGAAGTAGCTAATCAAAGAGAGTTACGAGGCATCCCAGCAACTGATCCCCTCTGCTGAAGAACAGAAACGGTGACAGCAAGGAGGAAAATAATGCCTCAGTCCTTATCCCAATTCTTTCTAGCACAGCCTATCTCCTCCAGTTGAAACACTCCAGGGATTTGGGGCTGGACAGATGGCTCAGTACTTATTAAAGCTTGGCAGAGGACCCGAGTTCGATTTGCAGCACCCACATCTGATAATTCCTAACGCATTCGACTCCAACTCCACAGGCATCTGATGCCTCTGGCCTGTATAGACACTGGTACACACAGACATCCACACACATGTAATTCAAAATAAAACAAATCTTTAAAAACATAGAAAAATAAATACTCTCAGTAATCAATCATAGAAATCTCATTTATCCTTAGAAGCTAATCAGTCAGAACAACTTAATTTCACAGTAACTGACCTAGCATCATTGGAACTACATCAATCCCTTCACAAGAATGGAGGTTCCTTAACCTAATTATCTAAAATATCTACTCACTTTCTAAGCCTCAATGAGTTTTGGTCGCAACACACTCAAACTAAAGCCGAGTGAGTTCTTCTTCCATTACCTAAGACCCTTTCACTCAGTCACTTCACAAGTAGGCAGGCCTCTTCCTTTCTCCATTCAGAGAAATATATGAACTAACTTAACTCTACTTTTCGCTGCCTGGGGACATCACTTCGTCGTGAAACCAGTTTTGTCTTCCAGGAACGCTGATACTATTGCTGTCGCCACTTTCCCTACATCCAGGTGGCCCCCATCGACACAAGGAATGAACACTTACCAAGGACGGTCAGCAGAACTTTCTTATTTGCAACCCCAGGAGCTTTCTTCACTTTGCACTGATACGTGCCAATATCGGACAACTGCAGATTCGTCACGTTTATAGACGCGTCACCAGACGTGACGTCGTTACTCGTGAAATGCACTCGTCCCTTCAGGTCTGGGTAGTAGTTATCGTAAATCTTGTCTCCAGAATACAAAATAATCTAAAACAAAAGCAAAGTCAAACAAGAAGATAACAAAAAAAAAAAAAAAAAAAACTACCTCATTTTATAACTGTCCGCATTTCCCAGTAAGATCCATGCTTCCTGTCCTGAGACTCAAAGGCAAAGAGTGGACCCAGACTCAAGCAGCAGGGCCACAGCTAGGACCTCTACAGGTGACTTTCTTATCTGAGCAGTATGGGGAAATGACACACAAGAATATCTTTCTTTCTCCCAACGTTAATGCAAAAAGCAAAACCAGACAACTGCTATATTCCGAAATGCCAGCTATCTAATCGTACACAAGATAAGAAAGCCGAAGAGATCAAATGGGACTGAGGTGTGGCTCATGCTCCACTTCAAACAGGTAAACCAACGTGGAATAGGATTACATAATGTGCCCTATACTAGCCAGAAACAAACAAGAAAACCCACCCACAAACACAACCATAATAATAATAAACAACCATAATCGGCACAAACTTCTTATCTGAGATGTTAATTTTCTACTGTACAGCTGGAAAATATCTCCCAAGGATATTTTTTTGCTGAGGTTTTCTATATTTGCCTTTTCTAGCATATCCACCCCAACCCAACCTGAGTCCACAGAAACACTTGTGTGTGTACGTCAACTGCCCATCTCCAGGTCACGGTCAAGACCAGTTTGCTGAGAAAATGCACAGAGCAGCTGAAGGAGCCAGCATGGGGTCTAAGCACACTAACCATTACCTTGCTCCTGAATCTTGCCACCCACACTCGTCAACACCAATCAACGTTCATGCGTCCACAAACAAGACACTCTGGCTTCCTGCCTATTAAACTTTTCACTCACGTTATGAAAAGCTACAGAGTTCATACAACTCTCCTTCCAAAGCACATTTTGACACGCACATCTCATTGGTGTCTTAAGGAGTGCCAGACAGGTAAGATGTGTCCCCACTGCCACTGTGAGTGATGAAAACCAACTAAGTGCTTTCTTATGATGACTGAATTAAAAAAAAAAAAAAATGGGACGACTACCATTTACCAGGCAACTTTACATGTCTTTACATTCTTGCAGTGTGGCAAGGATGTTGGGATTGTCCCCTTGTAACATCTATACTAAGACAGTAGCGGCTCTTGTCACATAAATTTATGTCACCCAGCTAAGCTAGGAGGCGGACCTGTTTTCACTGGGCACAGCATGTAACCAATGTTTCTGTACTTCTTTCAAGCTCACGAAATACTCAAGCATGCAGCATGTCATTACATTCTAAGAGGTGGCTAGGACATAGTCCCTACCAGACACATGAGGAACCGGGTTTACGGAACATGGGAGGAGATGGGAGGACAGCACAAAGGGTAACAAAAGCGCAGATGTGAGACGGGCAGAATGGGCTCCAATCCAGCTGCTAGCTGGATGACACTGGGCTTGTCCCTTCGCAGCTCCGAGCCTGTTTCCTCACTTTCATAAGCACAACCATGTGCATCCTACAGAGTCATCTTAAGGCTTAAATATATAGTCACGTGCTGTGTACAGAGGGTTCTGTCAACCCAGAGGGTGTATATACAACAGCAGACTACTTCATAGCCATCTTACGTCTGTGCAGGTGCATTCCAGGATGTTCAAATGACTGTAAAATATTGTGCAGATATTCTCAGAAGATATTCTTCATGCCGAAACAAATGTGGCTGCACAATGAAAGCACACCAACACTGACCAGGGCCTGGTGCACAGTAAAGCGTCACACAGGGACGAGACTGGACATTTCTCCAGTCCAGCCTTCCAACTCCAGCTCCGTAGGTACCACCTGCCAAGCTAACTCGAATCCAGCAGGCGTTCAGCTACGTATCCTGGCTAGAATCCTGTGAAGCACCCTCTTCAGAGATCTCTCTTTACCTGCCATCTTCCTCTTCACCCACTCTTACTATGCACTAAATCTGAGGCCAGGTTTTTAACCGAGAAATGGCCGCTCCAGACCAAGTGCTCCGTGTCATACCCGTTTCACAATTTTGTGCTTTGTCCTTAGGCTGAGAGATTTGGGACCCTCTTCCATGAGCCAGGCATGGACATACTGTGCCTGCTGGTCTCTACAGACACCTCCTCACAGACTTCACCTTTTCCTGTAGCTGAGGACTGAAGACTCAGGCTCTCCTGGGTTAATCCCAGGTTCAGAATCCTGAGCAGGACAAGGGAAGGGAGTACTGGGCCTCTATTAGAAATGTGTAGACAGAGTGCAGACATCTTCACAGAGAGAAGGGGGGGTGAGAGCAGCAAGGGCCACAGGGTATCCGGGATGATGAGAGAAAATGAAGCAACTCTGTTGCTGGGGTTCTTTCTGCTTCAGAAACAGACGGTTCTCATTACTGAATCAGGAGAGGCCAATCCATAGCCCTTGTCGCTGATAACTACAGAAGCTTCTTTATCTCCTTCACAAATGTCTGGCTTTATCAAAAATACTCATTTCTGGACTGCACTATTTCACTCACTAAATGGAAGAATTTCATTTTCGGTTATAAGATAACCCCTTCCCTCTTATTCGGACAGTAAGTAAAACTGTAAGTCTTTTGAAAGAGTCACGTTATGTGGTGCAGGCTGCCTTCTGCCACAGCCTCCCGAGTGGGGATGGCAGGCGGGCACTATACATGTTCAGCTCTTACAAAGACTTGGATCACTAACCCCCCATGAAATTTTAAACTTACCTTTGAACCTCTGGCCTGAGTTAAGCATGTAAACAAGTATGTTATAGGGTTTTATGCTGTCGGCCCACACCCTCACCCCTTCTGATCATTCCGTGTGCTAGGCAAAGGGCTCTCAGGAAAGAAACCGATCACCAAGAATGAGAACCTGAGTTCAACCCACATGGTAGAAGGAAAGATTCAGCCTTCAAAAGTTGCCTCTAACCCCCACTGGCTCGCATATGGCATTCGTGTGTGCACAGGCCACAGTAAATAAAAGGTAAAACAAACAAAGATTTCATTCCCTTCCCAAGTAATTCACTGTACAGGACATTTAATTTGAGGAAAACAGGCTCTAGTGATAACACTATACATCTTCCTTACAGTATATTATATCGTATATCTTCTTTAACAAAATGGATTTACTCATAGTCTCTGACACTGTGTGCTCCCTGCCTGCCTGCTCCTGGTTCCCTGTATTCCCTGCTCTGGCCCCTCACATACATATCCAGACCTTCAGGGAGCTTCCTTAGGTACCGGAAGTAGCCTTTCATTACTTCATCCATTGCATTCGCAGTATCTCCTGGCTGTGTCAACACACAGCATGACTGTGTCCCTCACTCCTATCACCTGAGCAGCTAGCTGGGTGCTTCCTCTCACCCACCCACCTCGCCCCCACACCCAGGCTATGTGAAGACACACCCAACATCCCCACTGACATAAGCAGTGACCAACTCACCACTTGATCCACCTTCTGGTTATCAGATGGGGATATCAGCCATTCGATGTCCAGGGGTCCGTGGTCGTCGGGATCAAGTGTAAACTTGCAGGGTAGATATGCAGTTTCCCCTTTAGCTTTGTCGATACTCTGTTCAGGGGTTGTGATACTCAAACCTCTGGTGACATCTGCAGAAAGAAACACATACATGGGACAAAGCTTCTATGATTGCCCTGGCGCATGACCCTGTGGTCATTCATGGGAGCACAGTGATATGGGGTTTGGGCTCAAAGCGAAAGAACTTAGGGTGTGTGCTGCCTTTGTAATGAGCCCATTAATACTAAGACATCCATACAATAACTTTTTTTTAGCAAAATAACTTTATTTCCTAACATAGTAAACACATACATCCAGTATGAGGTACTTCCATGACAATGGCTTTGAGAGTTAACATGTGTAAAAGCCGTCTTGGTTGAGATGTGAAGTGTCTGGATGGCTAACCTTCTGAACATATTGGACTGGCCACAGCAGAATATGCTTCATTAGGTAAGTTACAGAAATTTAAAGCCTTAAAACATTACTACACTTTCGCGTCTAATGCTTCCAGGTGAACAGGATGCAGCAGGATCACTTGGATTCCAGGACATCTCATTGGTTTTTCTGGTGATGGAACCATTTATCCACATCTGTCAGTAGTGAGCAGGCAGGTTCACATGGTGGTGGCAGAAGCATCCACAATGGCTTTGGCAGCATCCGCATCATACTTGAAAGGGCTCTCCAACACGGTGGTGTTCACGCAACTGATTCCTTTCCCGTCTGTTTTCTTAGTCACTAATGCTTTCCAATAATCATGAGTGCTTTTAATAATGTCAATTGCAAAATTCTTGTCTTTAAATTCTGCATTGAACCCAAACTCATTTTCTGGTTTTCCATAAGGAACTTTATACCTCCTAAACCCGTCAACAGTGGCTTCTAAGTCAACAGGTTTCAGAAATATTTTGACATCAGAAATACCATTATAATTGGCCGCATCTGGATCATCCACGTTAACGGCGATGACTTTCCAGTCGGTTTCGCCTTAATCAGTCATAGCCAATATGCCCAGAACCTTGATTATCTATCTCACCTCTTGTACACGCCTTGCTTCCAATTTCACAAACATCAGTTGGGTCATTGTCACTACAACAGCCAGTGTGTTTGTCACTGTACCCTGGGTCTTCCCATGTCTAAGGGATGGCACCATAGTTCCAGATGTATCCTTTGTAAGGGAACAGATTTGCAACATAGCGGAGCTTTCTTTTCTTCACATCTTGCTTAATTGGATTAAGGGATCCTTTGTAGCAATCTCCATTTTAGCATTTGAACAGCATGGAACCTCAACCACTATGTGGAATACATCCTTTCTTGCATAAATCGGGATATCATGAAATGGAGAAATATACTGTCCTTTCTCATTTTTTTAGGAAGGCGGTGGTACTCTAGAGTGAAGGACGCAGCATGCTCCTAGCTGCTGAAGCCACTCGTGGTGTCAGAGACGCACCGCAATCACTCCCATGCAATAACTTTTAAGAGCAATGTAAACTTCCCAGAGGCAAAGAAAATGAGTTTGCATTGCTTGTGTGCCGAAGCCTTGATCTCATAGCACTGTCTCGGCAGCCAAGTATTGCTATTATAAAAGTACACTGCCAAGTCCAACTGTAAAGCTAGTTTTCTAGAGTTGAAGATGCAGCTCGGCTACCTAGCACATGCAAGGCCCTATGCTGAATTCTTGTTGTTATTGTTTATGGCACTGAGCGTGTGGTACACATCGTTAAATGCAGCACTAGGGAGGCAGAAGCAGGATGATCAAAAGTGAGAGGCCAGCTTGAGATACATAGCAAGACCCTGGCTCAGAAACAGGAAAAAGAAGATTTGCCATCAAATGTGGTAGCACATTCCTGAAACCCAGCATGAGGGAAGCAGACAGGAGCACAGAGTTTGAGCACCCACCCAAAGACACAGCAAGACCCTTTGTCAAAACCACAGGCAAAGAGAATACAACACCACTATGGTAGAGCACTTGCTTAGCATTTAAAAGGCTCTGTGGGTTCGATCCCCAGCACCAGCACCAGAGAGAGAGAGAGAGAGAGAGAGAGAGAGAGAGAGAGAGAGAGAGAAGGAGGGAGAGGGAGAGAGAGAGAAGGAGAGAAAGAGAGAGAACCCAAGCAAACAAGCAAGTCAGACTATCCGTGGTAGAGCACACCTTTACACCTTTAATCCCAGCACTCAGGACGCAGAGGCAAGTGAGTCTCTGTGAGTTTGAGGCCAGCCTGGTCAACAGATTGAGTTCCAGCACAGTCAGAACCGATACACAGAGAAACCCTGTCTTGAACAAACAAAATAAAGGAAAAGCTAAAGTTGGTGCTCAGATCAAGAACCAAGGTATGAAGAGTCTGGTCATTAGCTTGATTTAGAGCACAAATTGAATTATAAATGAATCCTCCGATAAAAGTCTTTTAAAAATCATTTACAACACAAAGGTTTGTTATTCTGAAATATGGTCTCACCCAACCTGGTCTGGAAATCACTTTGAACTCTACACAATCCTCTTACCTCAGTGTCCCCAGTATGAGTATTTTACAGGCACGAGCCTCCACCCCCTAATGGATTTTCTAAACATTAACTCAACCATCCCATTGCTCGGGACACTAAGCTTCACCGGTTTGGGTTAAGAAGCAGCTTTACCCCATGAACTCCTGCACTTCCCAACCCAGATGTTCTGTGTTGGATGAGATTATTTATGAATGCTACCCAGAGCCTGAATCTCCCCTCCTCCATCCTCTCTGCCCTCCTTCCCCCTCTCTTCATCTTGCACTGAGCAAAATTAGAAGGCAATCAATCCCAAGCCCTCACTCTGCATAGCGATGTTTCTCTAATCACGTATGGTATTATCTTTTCTATTAGGTGAGAATTAATGTGCTATCAGAAATAATATTATGTTGGTAGAGTCGAAGCCCAAAAATAAGAACTAAAAGTTCCTTTCCTCAACTTGTAACAATATCTAAGTATGTTCCTCAGACTGAATAAAGAATGGGTGTAGAACCTCTGCATTCCTCTCTGAAATCAGACCAGTGAAGAGTAACAAAAATGTGCTGGGTAAAATCCAGGGCGAGGCCTCCAGATTCCTCGCTAAATCCATTCTCGCCTTCTTGAGAACTCTTACGACTGTGCAAACGATCCACACGGGAAATAACTGATGCAACCCCACCACCCCACCCGCAACCTGTCTAGACCAGCTTCTGCAGCGTCCTGAGTGGGCCCACAGCCTCCTTTCTCATCCAAGCCTACCCCAACCGACACCCAAGTGGAAACACAATGTCTGTGTTAAATATCTAAAGGTGGGGTTGGTGTTTCACACAGCAAAAGCTGATGATCCAGCATCTAAACCTACTGACCGAGACCAAGCAATAGCTTCCCATTGTCCTGAAGGTATGCCAGCCACCAGTCTGTTTCAGCCTACGTATTTATTGTATTAAAATATGTTTTTTAACACTGATGTCTGGCATCTCTAGAGTTCCTGCTGAAGAGCTATTGGGACCCTGGGACCCTTTTTATAATGGATAATAAATTCAGTCCGATGCCTGCCTCATTTTCAAAAATGTATTTATTCTACTACTACCTCTCCACTCTCCAGTGAGTTTCCTGTCCTTCCTTCTAAGAACAGTCACGGTACCTCACCTGTCTATACGGATCACCTTGTGCCTTGAGCACACGCTGACTTGGGTGTCTGTTTTCTTTCAGAAATCTATGCTCAGTCAGCACCCACTTCTATCGCATTTGCTCAGTCAACACTTTTCTTGCCAAGGCTACCCTGTATAGGACCCTTAAAGGTAGAGATCCTGTTAGACTATATCATGATTGGCTTCATTAGGGGTAGGGAACTCGCAAGTACCTTTGTCTCTTAAAATAGCACCTTATAATTTGCAGAAAAGAATTTGAGATTGAGTTATATTCTGATCAAGTTTAGAAATGTCAGGGAGATATGAAAATCTGCGAGAAGGGATTCCTACCTTTCAAATGGTTGGTCTGTCTTGATTTTCCCTTTGCTGGGGGACCACGAGCTCAGGCTGAAGGCCGCAGAGACCACCTCATATTGTAAGTGTGCACCTACACGTGTTAGTGCACCTGCATGTGGGCCCCCCAGACGCTAGGAGATGATATTCTGCTTAAGATATTTTAAGCAGTCCCAGAAATGACTTTCACTATTTCCTTTTTGAAATGGGTTTGCTCCTCACTGTGTTGTGCTAAAAATGAACCGAAATCTCAAGGTCCTCACAAAGGAGTCTTGAGTTTCCTAGCAACGCTGAGAGCTCTCTCTGAAGAGGCATCCTTTTTCCAAGTGCTAAAGTATGAAACAGTCAAAATTGTATAAAACAAAACACAGACATGCTCGGTCTCATGGAATGACTCTGTAAATTGCTAATACTTGAGTAAGCCAAGTGAAAAATTAACTCGCAAAGTACTCACAGGTTCAAACAGAGTTTGAAAACTAAATCAAATATCAAATCTTATGATTTTATTTAAATTCATTTGCAGGGTTTAGTGAGATCAATGGCACAAAAGTTCAAGCCCCAATTCCTTGCAGAGGTCAGTTATGAGTGCTCAGAACCGGAGCATATAAATAAACAGAGCACTGCCCATCCTGCAGGGACACTAATTGGAATAGCATCCTTCAGCCTTCTGCTTGCTTTTCTTATCTCCAATTTCTAAATCTGGGTCTCTGAAGACTCTCTGCTGCCCGGTCTAACTGAACATCAAAGTCATGTGACATCAAAGAGTGTTTTCCGGCCCCTGATGTCACCTCCTACTAAGCCCCTTAGGAGATCAGATTCTACCCGGAATGGTGGAGTAGGGAAATGGAAGGAGCTATTGTTCCAAGGGGAGACAGTGCTCTGGACGGATGGCATGCCTTGTCCCAGTACTTTAATTGTCCATGTGGGTGACCGGCAGACAGCTTTGCCTTTAATCATGCAAAGGTATAAAATGCTGAGGAAGTTTAATGGTTTTTTTTTCTTCTTTGTTTTTTAAGAGAAGCAAAGATGAGAGTTTTAAATTATTTTGAGAAGGAAGCCCTTAGAGAAAAGTGGTTTTTTTCATTGTTTAAGGAATGGGGGAGGGGAAGCTATAACTGGGGGGGGGAGTATTTACTTTAAACACTTGAAGTTGCAAACTATCACTTCACAAAACCACAGAAGAAAAAGCTGCAAACAAGACGATCAAATGAGAAACAGAGTATCTTATGGGGTGTCACAAAATCTCAGGTAACATGAATTACAGAGGGAAAATGGTGGCTTTATAATGGAAGATTCTAGTGATGCACCACCTTAACCAAATGATCAAATCACTCTCCCTAGACCAGCACGGAAAAAGTGTGCCTCCCGATTCAAACAGAGCTGCACTGGAGATAATGCACACCAAGTTAAAAGTGTATAAGCTAACCAAGACGGTGGGAACACCTTTAAACTGTATTTGCAACCCCCGCATGGGGGTGCTTACCTTGAAACCCAGTATTTGGGGGCAAACTCTGAGTTTGAGGCCACCCTGGTCTACATATAAGTTCCAGGCCACCAAGGCTACATAGTGAGACCTCATCTTGCAAACCAAAACAAAAGGTACATGTAGAAAAGAAGTCAATGGAAAAAGTGATGGATGGTCTGTCGGATTACAAGCATATGACTTTCTACAAAAGGAATAATTTAACCCAGTTAAAAAGATGATTGGAGGGAGGGAGGGAGGGAGGGGCAGGGCAGGGGTTTCTTGGAGCCTCCAAGCTCTTCCGATACCGGATGTTGCAATGGCAGAGACACTTCACTGTGACTTTGTTCGTAGCTGTACAATAAACAGAACTGTAGCTCTGGGATGATATAAATATGTCTCAGGTCCATCAAGTCTAACATATGCAGCCAGGAGGTGATGGCACACGCCTTTAATCCCAGCAGAGACGGGGATCTCTGTGAGTCTGAGGACGGCCTGGTCTACAAAGTGAGTTCCAGCACAGTCAGGGCTGTTACAGAGGAATTGTTGCGGCAAATTGGGGGAGAATTGGGGTGGGGGGTTCTAACATATGCATATCCCTGCCTAAGGGATTTTCTTTTGTTGGGGAGGCTACAAAGGGTTTAGGGCAGACATGGAAGGACAGGGAAATGAGTGGAATTGGGGTGCATATTGTGAGATTCCCAAACAATCAGTAAAAAAAAGTTATGTTAAAAGAAATAAGTCAAGGGAATTTCTTGTACATATTCAAATTTGCTGTATTCAATTTTGCTGTATATTTCAAACAGTTCTAAAGATATAATCTATTTTAAAATGAACATTTGTAATTAAAGAACTATAGAAATATAAATTAAAGCAATGTGATACTGTACTCCACAGATAACACTGGTAGTGTTTAAAGAACACTGTCGTGAATGAAGGTTC